CCTCTGACCTCCTCCACGCGGCTGCGTCGCTGGGCCGGGTCCCTACCCGCTGCCAGGCCCAGGGCCCAGCTCTGCCCCAGAAGCGACTTCAGAGGCACATTTTTGCCGGCGGGAGCTCGGAGATTTCCTGGAGGCCCCGTCCTGCCTTTCTACCGCAGGCTGCCCGCACCCAGGGCTGCGTGTCCCCCCCCCCCGCCCCCGCCCCCCAAAGCTGAAGTCGTTGATTTGTTGAGGCCCACGGTGACCTCCCGTAAGGATCTCGCCCCGTGTTAGACTGGAGTCCAGCTGGGACCTGAGAAGAAGGTTCTTGAGGGAGCCGGTATAAAACCACTGTTTCCTTTCTTCTGGCCGTTTAATTCAAGTGCAGCTTCCGCTGGGAACATTCTCCTGCAGGTCGACCACCCCACCCCGAGATGATGCGCCCCAGGAGAGTTCACTGCCGGCCACTATCCCTCTTGGCGTTGCGCATGTGGAGATTACCTATGTCTCTATCCATCCACCCATCTATCATCTCCACCTTAATCTCTCCGCGCACTTAAAACCAACCTACCTTGTGAAAGATCTAGGGGTGAGGCCGGACACCTACATCCCCGTCCTATCAGGGCCACGGCCTCCCCCGCCCGCTAGCTGCAAGGCCAGCCTCGCTGTCCGTGGGAACCGTGTCGTGTCACTAAGCGCGGCCACCGGCCCCTGCGGGCCAGGTCCCAGGGGGAGCCGAGTCGCCCCCGCCCCGCCCAGGCTCTTTCAACGCTGGAAGAGCGCGCTGGTCAGAGAAGGGGTTCGAGGTCCCCGGGTTACACACAACGACGAACGAACCAGCTCCACCAGCAGGCACTCCCGCCAGGGACCCTAGGCGACGAGATGGGAATTCGGTCGCCTTCCCTCTCCTCGGCCGCCTGCCCGCCGCGGCGACGCGGACGCACGCCGCGGACAGCAGAGGACCCCGGGCCTCTCCGAGCGCGGTTCCGGGGCCCGCGAGGCCGGCGCCCGTCGCGCTCCGCACGCGCGGCCCTGCCCGCAGGAGCAGGATCGCCCCGAGCTCGAGCCAGGAGCCGCCCAGGAAAGCGCGAAGCCGCGAGTCCCCGCGCGCGAAGTGCGGAGTTGGGTCCTGTCGCCGGGCTCCCGCGCTCGCCGGCGCCGCCGCCAGCCGCCCCTCCTCCTCGCCGCCCGCACAAATCAAAGCCCCTTGCGAGGGACTGGGAAATAGTTGCCTTGTCATGTAACACATTGCCCTGATTTATTATAAAATTTTAACGAAATCATGCATATTTTAACAGCCTTTAATCACTGCATGAAAATTTAATTCATGGGCTGTAGCGCGTTTAAATAAATGAAGTGTTAATTCATTAGGATTAATTAATTTGTTAAAGGATTGTGTGCAAGGTTAAGGTGGAAAGAAAACTCTTTGTTGGTTTCGCGTCTTAATCGCCAGGTTTCGCGAGTGGTAATGAAATGAAAGGAAACCGCAAAGCAAGTCCTTTCTTCGGGTGGGGTCTGGGCGGGACCAGCTGACAGCGCCCTCGAGAGCGCGGGAAATTCCGGCCCGAGGGGCACTGGCTGGTCTGTCCCCCTGGGGCGCTGCGAAGGGAGGGGGGGAGGGCGGCGGTTGGCGATTGGGGGAAGAGCAGCACTGGCTGCGGAAATCCCGGAAGGCTGGGAGCCTTGGAATCCGGAGGAAAGGGCGCTCAGAGCCAAGGCTAGCGTGCTAGACCTCACCTCCCCACCTTCAGCACAAAGATGACCCTGTGAGTGCAGCGAGGTCGCGCCTTCCGGCCCTCGAAGCGCAAAGCCTAGCCTTAATGGACAGATGATGGGCCAGCCCTGCCACCTCGTGAGCCTTCCAGCGCCTAGGGAGTCACTGTCTCGCCATCAGGCCGCCGGCCCTGGCGGCGAGGGCGAGCTTCGAGTCTCAGGAGACGCTTGGAGAGAGGAGGCGGAGCAAAGCCAAACTTGCCAGCTCAGGCTGGAGCAATCTAGAAACCTTTCTCCATCAGGAGCCTTGACCTCAGGGAATGGGTCCTTCGGCACGAGACGTCTGCTAAACAGGTGCCCCTTCAAGGATAGCGAACAAGCAGGAGACGTTCTTTTCCGCACCGAGCTCTTATTCACCCTTAAAGACCCAAAGCTAATAGCACTTCCGGTAAGATGCCTGATTTCCTCCCTGCTCCAAGCTATCCCCAACGACTTTTCTACTCACCACGTCATTAATATCAACAAGGGCCACAACTAGCTCCTGCCCTCATAGAAAGTCTCATTTACGTGCCTAAATCCTTGCCCTTAGGACCTGAAATTATGTGTCACACATGGCACACACTTCTCCACGCTTGGTTAATCCAACGATCATTTATTAGAAGGGCATCTGCTCCCTGTTAAGACACAGCAAACCTAAAAATCCACCCTTTCGTGAAGTGGAACTTTAAGGTATTATAGGCTGCTTCTGTCATGTAAAACTGAAGATCACCCTAGCTTGAGCTCCAGATGGGTTCTTAAAAGAAATCTGCATCTTAATAGATGTTTCCTTGCTCAGAGTGGGGTTCCGAGAATTAGGCAATAAATGTTCACTATGCACTCTGAGATCATTGCTTAAAAGGTTTTCTCTCTGCCAAGTATTATTAAAAGGATAGGGTTACATCATCACAGGCAAAGACAGTGTTGTAGGACTCCCACAAATAGGAACAGAAGACCTTCTTACGAGGCTTTGGGAAACACTTTTAATCTAAGAGGCCACATTCCATAAAGTTAAACTGTTGTCTCAGTTTGATGTTCTACAAGTGTCATTCACAGGTACAAAATCTAGTGCATGTATTACACGTTGAATAATTGAAAACCATTCAAGTATTAGAAACAAGATTCTGATACGTCCTAGGGTTTAATACTAAAGTTCTTCCTTCCTTTGTTCAGTGGTAACCTTTAGTTTTGAACCAATGTAGATACAAAAAAATTATAGAAATACAAAGCACATTTGAAATTAAGGGGCTATAAATCTTAACGTCTCCTATTTTGTTTTACTCTCAGCTGATCCATTAAAACAGGAAAGACATGTCATTGTGGGTAGGATTAAGATTTTAAAAATTAAAAGATGAACACTAATGGTCATGTAAAAAAAAAATCTAGCACCATGTCACATTTCCTTGGCCATTACATTTTAGAAAGATGAGCAATCACAGGGCGCCTGGGGGGCTCGGTTAAGCATCTGACTTCGGCTCAGGTCATGATCTCGCGGTTTGTGGGTTCAAGCCCCGCATCAGGTTCTGTGCTGACGGCTGAGCCTGGAGTGTGTTTCAGATTCTGTGTCTCCCTCTCTGCTCTTCCCCCACTTGCGCTCTGTCTCTCTGTCTCAATCAATAACCTCCCCCAAAATAAAAAAATAATAAAAAGGAGAGTTATAGATAGATTTAGAGTGAGACTTACCCCGAAGTTTACTCTGTGATTACTGAGAAAAACCTGTAGGTTTTTAGATTTGATGGAATTTCAAATATATTACCATTGTCAAAGACACCTAAATGACTAAACTCTTTAAAAGTAGCCATTAACTTTAACATATCAAAAAGAAAAAATAACACACAAATATTTACTGGAAAACATACATGATAAAATAAAAATGCTTTACGTTAGCTTTTAGCCCTTATTCATTTTTAGCCCTTATTATTTCTAAAAAATGGAGGGCATGATTCTTGAAATCATAAAAGTGATTTGTTATACTTTATGGCTTCATTGAATCCATAGAGTCTATTATAACAGGGGTCAGTAAATTTTTCTGTAAAAGGCCAAACAGTAAGTATTTTAGGCTTTGTGGGTCATACGGCCTCAGTGCCAACTATTCAACTGCCCCTGCAGTGCAAGAGCGGCTATCGCTAATATGCAACCAATGAGTGGAGTTCTGTTCCAATAAGACTTCATTTAGAAACACTGAAACTGGAATTTTATATCATTTTCCTGTATTATGAAGTATTTTTTGGATTTTTAAAAACCATTAAAAAGTGCAAAAACCATTTTTAGTTCACAGGCTTTCCTTTCACAAAAAAACAGGTATAGGCCTGATTTGGCCCAGGGTTCATAGTCTGTCAACCCCTATATTATTATGATCTATTAAAAGTGGTAAGTTTTACTGGTCTGTAGAGGCTAATTCAATATCTAAGACACCATCAAGGATTACAGTGCTTATGACATCCTTTATTCAATTCACATAGAAAAGCATGCAGTATTAATGTAAAACAGTACAGTATTAATGTAAAATGTTCAGTGCACATTAGATAAACAAGTCATTAGCATACAAACCATTTTTAAAGGCCTATATAGGCATACCAAACATGTTTAGAATATACTTTTTCAGAGCCCAAATTAAAAATTGTGCTTAGTTCACCTATTCTTATCTCCTTAACATTCTTCACGAAAAAATTTTTTTATCCTACATAAAAGATATTCTATTAGCCAACTAAAACTTCTTTTTCTTAAGTAAGGAAACCAGTGCAAGCAAGAATGCTACCATGCATACAGAGTTTCCACAAAGAATAGTAACATGCAAACAAGAACTTCATCACTCCAAAAAAAGCTTCCCCGGGGATAAGTGGATCAAGAACTTGGCAAAGGGCAATTCTGCACCTGTGTATCTGGAACAATAAAGCCACGATGTTTAGGACCCTCCAAAACCAACCATTCTAAGCCTTCTTTCCAAAGTAGGATCAATTTCTGATTTTCGACACACATAAAAAGATGAGCAGATGAAAGCTACCTGATATAAAACAAATATTTTCATATATAAAATGTATTCTTTCATACTAGCAAAACATTTTCACAAAAACTGGACAAAATACAATGTTAAAATTGCAAACATACATATAGAAAGCCTAAAAAAAAAAAAAAAAAGCAAATGAATATTCGACTAATGTTAGAGTACTATTTCTCCACCATGGCCTTGCCTAAAAGTTGGGCCATCACTAAACATAAATAAAAAGGGGCAGGTAAAATAACTTCCACTCAAGTGTCTTATAAGCAGTGTGTAGACAATATGAAAAGTTTTATTTAAGAAATCCACGTTCTGAAGACAACTGAGGCTCATTTACAGGCCACTGAATCTAACAGCTAAATCAAGACTCAAGAAACCAAACTACACCCAAACCAGATACGTACAATATTCATTAAAAGAAACCCTCTCCCTCTCTTTACTGATTAAAGAGATCCCCAAATGAAAATGAAAAAGGATAAATCCTTTAAAATAAAAGTATTGTGAGTACAGGCTAATTCACCATTCTGACTTGACACTTGACTACAGATTATCAATTCAAAGTTGTAGAGAGCTTTTATGAGGGGAAAAAGTAACTTTAAAAACTTATATTCCTCTCAGGACGAAAACATAAGTGACACCTTTCTAATGAGTCAACTTTTAGTTGCTTTTGATGGGCTGGCATTGGAAAGACTGCTCTGGATTTTTCTTTTCGTTGACTGATTGCTACTTTTATTCCTCTTTTCAGGCACAAAAGAAGTAGACCAAGGAGACTGAAGGTGGTTATGAAGATCATGCATCTCTGAGGTCATCTTAAACAAAGAAGATCCAAACCTTTGATCTTCAAATAGCCGGTGTGAACTGCTTAACAAAACACCCTGGGAAAACTCAGTCTGAAACAAACAGCTCGGGGGTTTGAGTTCATTAGTTCCGGGGTTAGAACTGGTATGGAGTGAAAAATCTTCATTCATTTCTTGGTCAGATGGAGAGAGGAGAAAAAAAGAAGTGGGTTTCCACTCATTTCCATTTTCTAACTGATCAGCAGTTAGAGAATCTTTAGAAAGGTTTGGCTTAGTTCTTTCATCCACCTTACCTGGTTCCTCAAGAAATTCACTGCCTTGAGAGGACTTTGATAATCCGTCCAAATCTACTGACTTAAAACCATTATTACAAGGGCTCTTGCTGTTGTCTGACTCCGACATCATTGAATCCAACTCGGATATTTTGTCAAGGTAAGCTGCGTCCATTGATGCTTCGCTGGATGTTCTCGTCCGATTCATTTCAAAACAGCGAATAGAATTCAACCTCTTGGATAAGCAAGAGCCTGATTTCTCACTTAATTTTAAAGAAATCTCTCCAACAGAATTTGCTATTGTATTTTCCTCCGAGCTTTCAAAATCCAAGCTTTGGGCATAGCTTGTGGAACAACAGTCCCAAAACCCTGTCTTTGAGGAAGTAAAACATTCTGATTTCTTTTCGTTTTCACTTCTATCATCTTCTGATGAGTCTTTAGTACAAACATTCGGAGAATCACAAAAGTCATCAAACACCAATTTTCTGAGATGGTTTGAGTGCTTTTTGGAACCTACAGCTTTGACCACAGAGCTCTCTCTGTTTTCTGGAGTACTGAGCTGAAGGCAACTAAGGGACAAAGGAGTACACGGAGCTGGAAGATCATAAAGTTCTTCATCTTTGTAGGGTATGCAATCGCTTGGCTTATTACCCCATTCTCTTTCCAAGTAAGTATCCATACTTGTATCTGTCACATCTAACATTATTTCCACCTGTTTCTGATATAGGTCTTTGTTCGCAGAACAATTTGATTCTGTTTTGCTGGTGCTTTCCTGCCTGGCAGAACTGCCAGAAGGCTTTGGCAGGTGAGAACTTGAGGTGGAGGAGCCAAGCTGCTTTCTGGCACCATCACCTGGACTGTTTGATGCCATATCCTCCTCGTCGCCTCTGCTCTCCTTGCCATCTGTAGAAAGTGCTCTCTGGCAAATGGAATTCATAGCTTCCTTCTCTTCACTTGAATTTTTTAGCTGTGCAATTTGAGATTCTAGTTCCTCTATATACTTATCACTTCGTTCCAGGGCTTTCTTGAGGCGATTGGTTTCACGTTCATGCTGTTCTACTTTGGACTGAAGAGCAGCTACTGTAAACCTTCCAAACCTGCAAGGAATGGAAGGATAGTTAACTTTACAGTTCAAGCTTTTTTCTTTCTTTTTCAAAGTTACGGGTACAAATTGTGTTGGCCCATTCTAATCTCACATACCAGTGACCTTTCAGACCAGTCGATAAATAGGTCAAAAGCAATACCAGACAGATGTAGTATCTTCAAAAAAGAGTTTTTCCACTTTATGTAATAATTTGCATAGGATAATACTGGCAAAGATCTCGTAGGATACTTTTGTGGTCAGATAAGATCCACAGTGGCAGAGAGGCAGGAACTCACTTCTGACTTCCCTTCCAAGAGCTAGCTCTATCAATTCAGCTCATATATGCATGCAGGGTTATCCCCTAAAACAATGGCAAAGATTTATGATAACATTTGAACAGTGGTCCACATCTTGAAATATTTACATTCAATCATTTTCCTATCGTACAGCAGTGTTTTACAATACATTTCTTATACAATGTCACCTTGTCAAACATAAAATGCCAATTTGAAATTCAGAAATCTTAGCAGTCCCAGCAGGGGTGGTTTTAAACACTTATTTGGACCCTTTCAATTATAGCCACCCTTGATCTGAAGCTTTTACTTGGCCTTTCTGAACACTAGGCTTTAATTCATTTCAGTTCTACTCATTTTTGTCATTTTACAACTGTGTGGGACATCAATCTCATTTCTTCCAACTTTGAAATACAAAGTCAGTGCTTGTGGTTCCAATATATTAACGCATAAAAACATTTTTACATTTCCTGAAAAGGAACATTTTGGAGAGTAACTGAAAAAGAACACATCAAAAATTCACTTCTTTTACTCAGGATTATCTTGTTTTCATTACTTCCTTAAGAATGGGTACTGAATTCAGCTCAGAAAACGCTTTTGAACACCTAGTATGGGCTGATGGTATTACCCAGAGTGGGGGATACAGAGATTAAGAAGACTGTCCTAGCTCCAATGGATATAAAATGTCTGCCTTAAATTCCATCTGAACACCAAAGAAAATTCCATCTTTCAAGAAAACTGCTTCTTATAAACCAATAAACATAGGACTTACATTCCAACCCTGTGAAAAATACTTCTCTCCACAAAAGTTCTTTAAAAAAATTTCTTTTTAATCATCTTTTTGATGACTTAAATGCTGACCCATCTTGAAGAATTCACGGATTGTCTGGAGGAAGTAATTGAGAAGGTAGCTTTTTTTTTTAAGTTTATTTATTTTGAGTGACAGAGAGTGGATCTGTGTGTACGCAAGCTAGGGAGGGGCAGAGAGAGAGGAAGAGACAGAATCCCAAGCAGGCTCCAGGCTGTCAGCGCAGAGCCCCTATGCAGGGGCTTGAACCCACGAACCGTGAGATTATGACCTGAGCCAAAATCAACAGTCAGACACTTAACCAACTGAGACAGCCAGGTGCTCCAAGAGGGTAACTTCTAAAAATTATTCTTGTCTATAGGTTTAACATTTTCTTCACTTTCCCCTTAATTACATAAAAGCAATTACAATTAAGAAAATGTACTAGGTATTAATAAAAACCATAAAAGAGAAGAAATCCACAGTAACTACCTTTTAGAGTCAACCACTACATGTTCTATGACTGTCACTCAATGCCCAACACCTCCTCCTTCAGCGCAATTCTCTCTCCAGTTCACTCCGACACAATCCCTGCTCTGGTCACTAAAGGTAAAAAGCGGGGCAAAGGTAAATATAGATTCATAAAATCTCAGAGTTAGAAAGGGCCTTCAAAGACAGTACTGAACATTGATCTACACGTTGCAATTAACTAAACTCCCAGAAAGAGCACACTCCCTTCAACCTCTAAAAAACAAAGCAAAAACCACAGGTATAACAAAAACAAAACCAAATACGATAACAAAAACCAAATACAAGCCTCCCTATTTTAAAGACAAAGTTTACTACTATGAGTATTTGGTTAAATTAATGATAGTACTTTTTCTTTGTTACAGACAAGTGTTTGGTTTGTAAATGTTGTATTTGAAAGAGCTGTAGTTCTGTGAGAGAATTTTAAAGAGTGGATGGAGATCTTAAGGACATCAGCAAAAATGTGAGTTCTTGATTATAACTACTGTGGCATAATCAAATAACCCACATATTTTTAGATGGAAAACTGTGTATGTTTATTTAATGCAAACAACAAAAGTGACAGTCTTAAATTAGCTTACCAAAAATTTTTTTCTTAAGTGTAATTTTTACAATAAAGGTAAACTCAAATGAAAACAAATGGAATGATTTAAAATCAAATAATGTTACTAGACAGTAAGTCAGCTATTACCAAAGGATGTCTTTGGGAACTCAAGAGGCTTACATAAGGAAAGACAAGTGACACGTAAGAAATGTTTCCCAAGATATTTACAGTTTTTTATGCTAGGTTTTAGCCTGGAATTTCAAACATAATGTCACTTTAAGGCGCTACATTTGCCCCTATGTTTATTTTTAAATTATGTTTTGAAAAGAAGTTAATAAATGGTCCTGAGTTGAAGTTAAAATGACAGCCCTAAGCATGTATTCTGTGTCACTTCAGAGAGAAAGCCGAAGTGCCAGGAGAACAACAAAGGCCAGCAATGGAGCGCATATGACAGGGACAAGCAAGCAGAAGTCACTGATGGAGCTGGCAGTTTTCTAAAAGGTCACCGCCCTCAATTCCCCAAAGTTCCATTTCAATACTTTACAAGTCTATAATACTTTGAGTGATCAGACCTTTTTACCATGCTAATAAGAGGCCTGTGCTGGTGGGCAAACTAACAGAAATGTATAGTGAAAGCCATGGGACTGATCAATTAATTAATCAATCAATGTAATTTGTTTCTGCCTCTCTCCCGTTAAAGTAGAAGCCCCAGGAAAGCAGGGCCATCTTCTATTTATTGCTAGCTCCCTAGAACGATTCCTGGTATACAGTAGTCCTCATTAAATACTTCTTGCATAAATGTTATTTTCTCACTTTAGGATGCATCAACGCCTGACACAGCAAGACCTAGCCAACACCGTAGGATAGGACAGGCCCAAGGTCCTTGGGCCTCTATCACATGTGTTATGAACTGCTATATTACTAAGTTGAATGTTTCATACATTTGACTCTTTTTCTTTCTCTTTTTTCACTGACACCAAAGAAACACCAAAGAGAACAATATGCAAATAGTATAATTTTGTGGGGGGTTTTTGTTTTGTTTTTTTACCACAGGTTTGCCACCTTATACTGCTCCTTACAAAAAAAGTAAAACAACAACAACAACAAACCTTACACTTCAACCTTAGCAAAAGAATGGAAACATGAGACTTCTGACATAGTTATTAGGAATTTTTAGTTACCACAGATATATCTATATTAAATTCAGCAAAGAGAGATTAATTAAGTCATATAGAAATAACAATTAGGACTACATATCTGATGCAATACTTCCATAAAAGAAGACAATGATGATAAGGGCTTATTTAACTTTGGGTTTTAATACTCTGATTCACACTAATTCCAGATATTTCCAGAGTACATAACATTAAATGAATCAATGCCAAGGCAAGCCGGAGGGAATTCTAACATCATTTACCATACTTCCTTTTCCTGAGCAAATTTCAAAATGGAGTATTTTTATAAACATTCCATTAGAGACCAAAAGGCTTTGATTTTCAAAGTAGCAGTGATGGCCAAAGTCTTCATTATGTCAGAGAAAACCTCGTAAAGCTGTTTGGGAACTGCAACTGATATACCAGAATTATGTTCTTCTGCTAGAATCTAGGAGAAGCTTAAAGGATTTTTCAACTGGTATATACATTCTGGATTAGGGCTCCTTGTCTAAAAAGTTACAGAGGTGCAAGATTGTTCCTGTCCCTACTAGCAGTAAGAGAGATGAAAGTCCTATTGGTGTGACCTTTGAGGTATTATAGAGTAGAGCGTCTTTAACAATGAAAAGTTCCTCAGTCCACATTTTCTCATAGCCCATCACATAGGAGTAATAAGATGTGCTTAAAGGGGATCTGAAGAAAGCAAATGTGGTACCAAGACCTAACCTCCAGTGCTATGCTGCCATTAACTAGTTGTGAAAACTTCACCAAATAACTTTGCCTCCCTAGTTCTCAATGGCATCCCCAACAAAAGGCATAAATGCAGCAACTGGTGGGTTGCTGAGACCACTAAACTTCAGAAATATCTTCAGGACACAGGGGACACCAAGGAACTGAATCCACCTGCCTCCCACATATCTTTGATTTTGTATCTTTTCCTTATTTGCTTGCTGGGGTAGTAATTGTAAAACAAAGTGAAAGCAATCTTTGGATCTGGATCAGCTTTTATAATCTGGCCTATGGGACAGTTTTCCAGTGTAGATATCCTTGATGTACATGGCTCTTCTATGCATAAATTTCAGTTGCCACAGTTCAGCTAAGTAACCCCAGCCACTTAACAACGTGGTTCACACTGATCATATTATATTAACTGTGACGAACTGCTTGAAATTGTATAAAATAAAAACTTCACTACTCGCTTTTCGGTTCACAAAACACTACATAAATAACAGAAGTGCCATCAGTGACCTATCAGGTCACTTCTTTCAAAGTCTGAAAGTGATTGGTCACTCTGCATCTGTTATTCAGTTCACACACAGACAGTAAAAGCACGTAGTGCTGTCACATGCATTTTACAAGGATGCATAACCAAAGACAGAACTGGCCAACAGAAATGAAGGTGGACCAAAGAAATGTAAAGTGATCAATGCTAGAAGTAAAACTGGAACCAGATGTAAATGCAGTTACTGAAGAACTTACCACCGAAATGTTGAAACTGTCACTATTGGAGAGACCTAGCAATGCCAGAGGAATTTGCGAGTGGCAAACTTACTGACATAAATGAGAGAAGTAGTTGTGATGAAAAGAATAAAGATGTCTAGAGGAAGTGACAGGCTGGTAAAAACGCTTCACATTAAAGCAATATGGAGGTAGTTCACAACATTGGAAAGCATTAAGGATAAAATGTTGGAAGCTGATGCAAACTGAGGA